AAGGAAGGAAGGAAGGAAGGAAGGAAGGAAGGAAGGAAGGAAGGAAGAAGGGAGGGAGGAAGGAAGGGAGGGGAGGAAAAAGTCTTGTTTCATGCCTCACATAGTTCTATAACCCCCCAGAAAGTTATAGTCAAAATTATAGATGCTTAAATACAATCTCAGCAGGTAAAAAGATTCTAAGTATATGAGAGTTATTTTCACTTTACTTTGAACAGAAGGAAATCATAAAAAGGAAGTTCGCTACTTGGGATATAGAGTGAAACATATATTGGGTCTTACTGGGACCTTGTTTCCATGTCCCAAACTGGCCCTCACTTAAACCCATACATGTCAGCACAGAGAAAGATGTTTTCACAGCATACCATGTGCGGAAGAAAGGAAGAGCCCATCTTTTCTGGGCAGAATTATTTTCCTGTTGTTTCTGTTTAATCGGCATTCGAGAAAAGTGACAGCCCCTGTTCCTTGAATTGAGGCCACTGGCGTAGGACAGGTGGGAAGAGGAGAGGTGAGGTGGGGGGCAGGGCAGTGAGTGAGGGGCCCGGGGGACGGGATGCCGGCCTCTCCAGAGGCCCCGGGCTCCTCTGGCCAGGGGCATGTGGAGGCCTAGGCAGGGTCTGCAGGGCTCACAGGATGACGGCAGCCACAGTCTTCCCCTTGGAGGGGGAGGGAGGCACTGAATTCCCCCCCAGTAGCTTTTTCTCGGACCCTTCCTCATCCTGAAAAAAACAGGGGAAATCAATCATTGCTGGGGAAAAGATGGGGCCTAGTTAGCGTCCTAGAACTTGAAATCGGGTAAATGGAAGAAGGAGGGGAAGGAAAAGGTACAGAGGAGGGGGAGCTACCCAGAGATCTGGGACAGGAAGGCACAAAGGAGGGTCTGAAGAGGCAGAGGGCAGCAGCTAACCCAAACACGGTGCTGGCGCACGCTCCCCAAACAGCAAAGGACTGAGCTGAGTGCTGGAAAGAAGCTGAGGGATGCTCCTGGCCCTGATGTTCCTCCCTGTTCCCAGAGCTTCACCAAACAGACCCCATTCTTTCCCCTTGTGCCTCCCTCACAGCTCACCAGGGGCCAGGAGCTCTGGCCACACAAGCTTCGAAGACCCATGCCCAGGGAAGCCAAGGATATGATGACCTGCAGGACACAGCCAGCCAGGAGCAGAGTATGGATGCCTAGGAATAAATTCTGGAGATAAACGAAGCAAAAAGACACAGTCAGGAGTCTGCTCCTCTGAGTCCGCTCTTACTACCACCTTATCAACCTGGCCAGGTATCAGACTCTGTCCAACTGACTACTTGCCACTGAAGCAGATTACATTTTCCAACCATGGGGCACCCATAGCTTCCACCCCATTTGCTTATCTGCAATGTGACCTTACCACACCTGGTGAAGAGCTGAGTCTATTTCTCTACTCCTAGAATCTGGAACAGCCCATAACTGTTTTGGACAACAAAATACAGTGGAGGTGACACTGTGCTGGTAGCTTCCATTTCCCACCTCCTGAAATATTCACAGTGAGATACTTCCTGTTGGAACCTAGTTGCCATGCCATGATAAGCCCAAACCACATGGAGAAGCCACTGTAGGCTCTCTGGTTGATAGCCTCAGCTGAGCTCCCAGCCATGTGAGCGCCATCTTGGAGCTCCAACCCACTCGAGCTCTCAGAAGACTTCACCCCCCACTGACATCTGACAACAATTGCATGAGAAAACCCAAGTGAAGATTGCCTATCTGAGCCCAGCCAGCCCACAGAATGTGAGAAGTAATGATAAATGAGAGTCTTAAGCCAAACCGTGTTGGGTGTTGTGTTTACACAATAGGTAACTAGGACAGCTGCACACCAGAAAAGATAGAAGGGCGTTCTGTGATATTCTCTCTTAAATGTCTGCCCTTTGCTCCTCATCCCCGTTGATTCAGGAATTCTTATGCCATGAGGGTCTGAGAAATGTCTCCAGCTTAAGTTAAAACCTCCTGAACCAAAGACCTAGGATGAGGTCCACACTCCAAGAACCTACATCTCTAGGCCTGCCAGTGCCCCAGCTCCTTGCAAACAGATAGTTGTGCTAGGTTCCTGGAAGACTGGACTCTGTTCTCACCATCAGCATTTGCATGTAGGTTCTGCACCTATCCTCATTCTACCGTGACATGCGACTCCTTTGCCATGTCTCTTTGTACCCAGTGGTCGGGGTGGCAGTTTCTGGGGACTCACACACAGAGTTGATATAAAGGAAGCCATCACTTGGCGAGCTTAAGCTGTTCACACAGAGGACAACAGCAACCACGGCCGTGGAGACGCTAGCCAGCGTGAGCAGACCTGATGCACAGCCCTAGAAGGGAAAAATGCAGGGCGCAGACCCTGCTGGCCCCAAACCTGTCTCTTCTTCCTCACTTCCTGCCCCGGGAAACCCTCCCCACCCCTCCAGGAAAGATCCCAGGACATTAAGAACCAAAGAGAAGAAGACCAAAAAATAGAGCAGGAAAACAGACATGGGAGGGGGCAGAGAACACCCAAGACTCACTGGGAGTTTGCCCTGGTGCTTCTCATGGACGATGGCCCCAGCTCCTGCTACAAGAGCCTGCAGAGAGAAAACACCGGAAAAGGCTTCCAGTTTACTCTCCTGAAGTGTCTCCCCCACCCATTCCCAGGACAGCCGATTCGAAGCAGGATCCAAGGGACTGGCAAAGACATGGAGCAGATGGATAGGACTCCATCAGAGCTGCCCTGCCTTCCCAGTCTGGCCTGAAGGAGGAAAGTACAGAGTGACAGGGATTGGCTTGCCCCTCAAGGCGACTTCCTCCTGGTGAAGGGCATTTGGATCCCGGTCTTTGGTTTCTTCCCCAAATCCCTGACCCAGATCCAAAGGAACTTTCTCCTTGCCCATAACCCACTTGCCTGCCACCGAGCTTACAGCCCCTTCCTGACTCACCACAGACCCTGCCCAGAAGGTGCAGCCTGAGGCACGCAGCTCTGTCCAGGGCCCGAAGCAGAGCAACCCTCCGAGAGCACAGCTCACAGCCCCCAGCAATATCTGGATCACCTGCAAGACAGGGTGAAAAGCCACCTCCCTTCCCACCAGCCCACACGTCCCAGGAGAGGCCACCCAACTCGTACCTGGCTGGCTTTCCTCTACTTTTCCCGTCTTGACCTCTCTGCAGCTCTGCTTCTGGAAGGTTCCGTCCCTTTCACATCCATGAAGCAGCATGCTGGGGCTCTCCTCCGTCCCCCTGACGTGTCAGGCCTTTGTCATGGCTTTTTCCTCAGCGCCACTCTTTGTCATCCCACTGGATGACTCCCACTTTTTTCTCCTCATTCCCCCTTAGGAGTCCCACCATCTTGCCCACGATAAGCTGAAAGGACCCCTTTCAAGAAAGGAGTGTGTTAGCTCACAGCCTTCGGTGGTCAGCAGCTTCAGGGTCCCTTCGCCTCTCAAGCCACAGGCACACTCTTTGGGGATGGCCACCCAGCCACTGGTGAAGCAAGGCGGTGGATACGGCGGCCATTTCCACCCAACGTGGCTCTCTGATAAAGTGGCCATTCTTGCTCCCAAGCTCCCCACGGGGCTGGCAGAGACTTTGTCAGGCCTGCATCATAATCTGGAGGCTCCCCTTGCCCAGTCTTGGTCCCTCCTTTCTCATTCATAGGTGTGACACTCCAACAAACCTTTTGCACATTTAACGCTGACTCATGTCTGCTTCCTGGAGAACCCAGCTATCATTGCCTCTTGGCCGTCACCAGCTTCTCAGCCTGCCAGCGCCTCAGATCTGCCACATCCGAGTTCCACACCCCACCTGCACCTCCAGTGTCTGCCTCGCTTGCCTTCCAGGGCCTCGGGCTCCTGGTCACACCAAACCTCAGCATGTTCTTGGATTCCTCTCCTCCGTCGTACACCAAGCCCACTCACTCCCAAGTCACGGAGACGTCATCCATAGATGACGGAGACTCCTCTCTTGCCTTGGCATCTCTGGCTGGGCCCAGGCAGGCACAGACCCTCCACCCTTCTTCCCTGGACACCTCCTGGCTGGGAGGCAGGTTCATTAAAAAGCCCAGGTTCCTGCTGGGAAACCACCCGTAGCCCTCCCACTACTGAAGCTGATTCAGGACAATTTCTTACCTTGTCAGTCAAGACTCTCAGCAGTAGAGCCTTGGGCTGCATTTCCAGTCTGATCTGCCTTGAGTCCCATTCTCTTTACTCTGACAGAACTTGCCTGAAGCTTTCTGGCTTCTTCACCCTTGCTCCTGACATTATCTTGACCTGGAATTCCTTTCCTTCCATCTTTCACCTCTATCTGTCTACATACACTCTTCCTCCATGTGAGGTCTGGCTCAGATGCCAACTGCCGCAGGCTGATCCCCAAGGATGTCACCTGCTCTACCTTTCATTCTAGGCATGCATGTAGTGGTGTGTTCCCTTCCGATGGATGTTGAGCCCTTTTAGGTTATAGACTAGGGACTCTCTCTGTAGTTTTCTCCAAAATGCCTGTAATAGTGCCTCGCATCTGCAGGCCCTCAGTCCACATGGGTTCCGTGAAACTCAGCTAACAGCCACCTGTCCCCCACCTCCGCTGGGACAACCCCCACTGTCCCAAGGAAGAGGCCTATCATTCTTTTCCACCTAAATGTGTAGGGGAACCTGCCAAAACTTTCTTTTCCCAAAAAAGATGGGATACAAATAATAACTTCTCATAAAGAGTCAACCCACTTTTTTTTTTCATCCCATTGAAGGAGAGTTACCATCCTCTGCACCACCTGCTCCTCTTACCCCTAATACCAGCTGCCCATAGCTCACCCTGGCCTCAGAAGGGCCGGTGTCCCAACGGCGAGAAAAGAGCTCCTTCAGAGAAGCCCCAGCTTTTAACAATTGTGCCAAAGCTGATTCCTGGTGGATGTGGATATTGATGTGGCTGGGCTGGGACAGTGTAGAGACCACATCGATTCCATTCACAGTCACCATGTTTTGGGTCATCCTGCCTGCTGGGAAGAAGACGTAGAAAACTGAGGTCTGGGAACCAGCGAAGATAAAAAGGAATATGTTGCATGAGTGAAGGGAGAGAAAACAGTCCCTTGTCAAGATCCAAAGGATCTTCCCAGAGCAGGTAGCTGTGTCACAGTGGCCTTAACCTGGGATGCAAATCCAATCACCTCTAGAGTTCTTCACCACATATATTCTTGGGCCTCTCCCCAGAATGGTCTGACGCAGTTTGTTTGGGTCTTGGGTTGGGCAAGGAAAGGAACCTGAATTAGTTCAGGGACTTAATATATATATTTATACATTATACTTCCATATGGTTAAAAAATTCAAAAGATATAAAAGGATATACCTATAAAACCCTCCCTCCCACCTTTCTTTCCCAGCCACCTAGTTGCCTAATGTTATCATTTTTTATATATCCCACAATGACATTTTTGCATAGAAAAGCATATAAAATATATTCTCCTCCCCCTTTTCCCACAAATGGCAGGATACTACATAAACTAACTGCACAATGATTTGTTCACCGAACTGTGTTTTGAAGATAATCATACATCAGTCCATAAAATGCTTTCTCACTCATTTGTCTGACTGCACAGTGTTCCTTTGTCTGAATGCATCATGATTGTTTTCAGCAGGCTCCTATTTCTTTTAAGGTTTTATTTATTTATTTAAGAGAGAGAGAAGAGAGAGTGAGAAAGCATAAGCAGGGGGAGTGACAGAGAGAGAGGGAGAAACAGCCTCCCCAAGGAGCAGGGAGCCAAATGCGGGGCTCCGTCCCAGGACCCTGGGACCATGACCTGAGCCGAAGGCAGATGTTTAACCAGCTGAGCCACCCACGCACCCCTCAGTCAGCTCCTATTGATAGACATCAATTTCCTCTTGCAAACAATGGGGAATTGGCAGGTCAATGGGAATATGCGTGTGTCATTTCAATAAATATTGCCCTGTGTGGGGCTACCCCATGCCATTCACAAACAGAAGCAAGGTCAAGGAATGTCCACTGCCCCTCTCAATGGCCAGCAGGAGGTGTCAGCAAACTTTTTAATCTTTTTCAAATATATATCAGTTAAATTACATCCCTTTATAGATTTTAATCAGTTTTATGCAGCAAAATGCCTCCTTTATGGTGGATATCTCAGCGAGGTTTGACAAATTCGTACATTTGTACAACCCCAGCTACAATCAGGGTAGAGAACATTTCTATGTTGCAAAAATTCCTTAATGTTCTCTCCCCAATAAACCCCTCGACCCTGGCCCAAGGCAACCAGTGATCTGCTTTCTGTGACTATTCCAGTATAGTTTCAGTCCATAGTTCTCTTAGTATGAGTGATATTGGTCATCTTTTCATATGTTTAAGACCCCTTTTCTCCTTCTTTTGTGAGCTCTCTGTCCATACCCAGGTCCTTCTTGTTTTACTGTTTTGTATACGATCTTGGGTATTCGAAAACTTATCATCTGTGACATGATTTCCAAATATTTCTTTGCAATTTATGATTTATTTTTTGATTAACCAATTTCCATCTTTATTTGATTTCTGGATTATATACCATACTTAAAAAGGACTTTACCACATCAAGATTATAAAATAATTCTTCCCTGTTTTCTTCTAAGTAGTGTTATGCTTTCAGTTTTCGCATTTAAATGTTGATCCATCTGGGATTTATCTTGTAAGTTGGAAGATACAGATCCAAGTTGTTGTGGGGTTTCTTTCCCCAGGTGGTTAATTTCTGAAGGGTATGTTCTGTTTGAGGAATATATTACCTTTCTCCTACTGATTTAAAATGTTCTCCCGAGCAAAAATGAAATTCTCCTAGGAATTCGAATCTATTCTAGTCTTTATATTCTGTTCATTGGTGAGTCTGATGAGTCAGGTACCATTGCCACTATTTTAATGATGGGTATGGAGTTTAATATTTAATTGAGTTATTTTGTGACCCTCCTCGTGTTATTTTTTCTTTCATGGCCTTTTTTGCTAGGTTACGTCTCCATATGCACTTTGGAATCAACTTGCAAAGCTCCAAAAGTAATTCTAATAGGCATCCCACTTTGGCATCACTGATGGAAATCACAACGGTATTAATAACGATTCTAACATCAGCAAGATGGCAACCCTAAAGTCTTCCCTTGTATTCTATGTCCTTTACAGAGCAGTGTCATTCTTGTGCCTACCTGGTCTCCTTAGTGGTATAAAGGACAGGTGTTGGACAATTCTATAGATGCACAAGTAGGTTCAGACTTGTTCACAGACACATACAAGGAAGTCTGGCCCGGATTCCAGCCAGATCTCTCCCTTGGGTCCCAGGAGCCAGCATCATGGGGCAGCCCTGAATGTGCCTTTGGCTCCAGCTCCCACTGAGCCCCTGGGTACCACCACTTCCCCCACCACACTCCAACCCTAGCTCAGCTGAGCCCCCTGCTCTTCTTCTGGACCAGGCTGGTCCCATGAGGACTCTCTTCCCACGCCCCCCAGACTCCAGGGTGTGAGGCTCATCCCTGCCGCCCTGGTCACTCTCTCTGTCTCGCTCCTTTCAGTGTTCCTGGAGCTGGGGAGAGAAGACCAGGACCCATGCTACATCCTGGGCCCTCTACCTTCCAGCTTCACTCTGAAGGACCTCTCACCACCAGACCGCCTGAGCTTTAGCCCCCCCACCAGGAATAAAGGAGGGCTGAGGCCTGGTGAGGTTGCTGGAGCCAGACACATTCTCCTGCCCCTCCCCAGGTCACACCCTGTCTAGGGCATCCCTCCGCACCCTAGCAAGTCCTATGGGAACTGGGAGCAGCATCCCGTGAGATAGGATGGGGGCTTTGGGGGCCAGCCTTGAAGACTCCTCAAGAGAGGAAGGTCCTATGGTGAGAGTCTCCTGGGAAGGGGACACCTGGTCTGTAGGGACCCTGCTCACCTGCTGTCCTCTGGGAGCCTCAGCAGAGCAGGGCTGGGAGGATCCACAGGCAGCTAGCTGAGGACCAGTAGATGGGAAAGAGAAGAGCAGAAGGAAGAGGTGGAGGGAAGAGGGTCTGACCTTCAGCTTTGCAACGTCCCAGAAAACAGCTAGGGCAAAGGGGCCCCTCTAGGGGGATTCCATCTTGAGTAGATAACCAGGCTGGTGAGAAAGACAGAGTGCACGCATATGAGTGCACACACACACACACACACACATACACACACTCATACGGACTCTCACAACACAGACAGGGCCCACACTCACAGCACCTGCAGACCTGTGTTGAGAAAGCACCTGCAAAAGTGGTCATGGGGGACTGGACAGCTTCCAGGGGTTTCCCAGGGCTTATCAGCTTTATGGGCTCCCAGGCCACCCACCTCATGCCCACACTCCAGGCCAGAGCCCAGGGATGGGCTGGCAGCTGGAAACCCCCCACACAGGGGCCCCTCTGCCTGGCTATCTTCCAGAGAGGTTGCTGCTAAAATTCAGCAAGCCCCTCCTCCACCCTGCCCTTCTGGTGCTCCACCAACTTCCTCCTCTGTCTGCCTGGTTCCCAGCTCCAGCTCCAGCTCAGCCCAGCCCAGCTGGCCATCCCTGTGGCACACTCAGCCCCGGGGGCCCTAAGGAGAGCAGGTGAGGCGGGGCCCACCACCAGGCAGCCCTTTCCCAGGACACTTCCCCACTGGACTCCCCACTTACCCCCTCACAGGCGTCCAAAGCCTGGCCCAGAGCTTGCTGGGGATGGAGGGAGGGAGGAACCAGCCACCAGTGGACCATGGACTCCAGGAAGGTGGCAGGAGCAGAGACCAGGTGCCCCTGTTTGATGCCAAGTCCGGCTGGCCTTGACCTCTACCTTCACCTGCAACTGGTTCCTTCATTGTTGGTGGGGGGAGCTTCAACAGGCCAGGTGGAGCAGAGTGACTACTGCCCCGTAGCCTGAGGGCTCAGGGTGGGGGTTGTGATGGCAGGCTGGCAGAAGAGGATGGGGAGGTGAGGCCTGCGGGGCACTGCTTGGTCCAGACCCTGACGCCGTGGGAGGAGGAGGGGACAGCAGATCTGGGGTGAAGGGGGAGGTTCCAGTGGGCTCAGCGGTCGCCACTGTACCAGCAGTCAGGCTGTCCTGACATGACACCCTGGAGAAAGGGCCAAGGACGTTGCTCTGTGACCAGAGACCTCCACCAGTCCCAACGGCCAATGGGATCTTTGAACACATCCTCCAACTTTTCCTCGCTCACCCTCCCTTCCTCTCTCCCAGACAGATGTCCGCAGGCATGGGGACAGCAGACGGTGGTGAGGCGGACCCTGGGACCTCACAGCCCACCCACATCCACGTGCACATCCACCAGGAGTCAGCTCTGGCCACGCTCCTGATACGTGGGTGCTTCCTGCTTCGGTCCCCTGCCCCTGGCGCCACCTCCCAGACCTGGGGCAGAAGCCGGCTGCTGGTGGCCTCCTGGGTGAGTAGGGGCCCAGAGGGGCTCCCGGGCTCCCTGTGTCAGGAAAAGAAGACCCTCCTTTCGCTGTGCACGCTCATGGCCAAGCTCTTGGAACTGGAGGCTCAGCCAGTTTTATCTCCTTATTAGAAATCCAGATTGCCTGTGATCTATTTCTGACTTTTTTTTACTAACTTACTGGCTTTCTCAATAAAAGCTGAAGGAGGGTGGGCTTTGGGCTAAAAGGGTGCAGGGGAGCCATGGCCATTTACAGTCCCAGCCAGTGGAGCCCTGAGCTGCCCTCTCCCCTCTGCCAGACCCAGCGTGGGCTGGCTTGCCCTCCTCCTTCCCCCCTCCCCTCCTTCTCCTTCACGTGGTTCCTGTTGTTTATACCTGGAGTGGCAGGTCCTTAAAGCTGCCTGAGACATGGGGGCAGAGTGTTGCTCCTGGGCCCGGGGATCTGGGAGCCAGCTTCTTAGGTTCTTCTTCTTCCTCCAGGTGGGTGCAGATCATGCTGGGGGTGTTGAGTGGAGTTCTGGGGGGCTTCCTCCAAATCTTCTATGACTGCACCTTGTGTGGCTCAGGAGCTGCCATCTGGACAGGGGCTGTGGTGAGTCGGGCAGGAGGAGGGTCGATGGGCCAAGAAGGGACAGATTCGCCTCCTGTCAGAGGTGATAGACCATCACCATCACCAGGATACTGTAAAATGTCAGCAGTCGAAAAGCCCCGAAGTTATCGAGGCTGATTCCCTGTTTCTACAGATGAGAAAATAGCCGAGGGAAGTGGTGGTCTGACCAAAGTCACATGGCCAGTTTTCGTGGTTTCCCGCCAGCCTGGCCTCCTCCCCCCAGGTTCAGCAGCAAGCATCAACCAAAGACCTAGGACCCAGCTCATTTCCAGACTCTTGCACTGAGATGGGGAGCAGAACATACCAGAGAGGGTATAGTCTACAAGATAAGGTCAACTCCTCGTCATTTCCCATAGCCTTCTGCGGGTCCTCCACGCAGTGGGAATCTGGTGAGTGCCACCAAAGGAGAGGGGTGAATGTCCACAGATGGGTGTGTGCCATCTGCAATAGGGGCTTGGGGGCAGGTCGTGGTAGCACCAAGGGGCCCTTCGGCACACCCACACTCACAGAATACTGACTGAGAGAAGAGCCAAAAGTAATCATCCTCGTCCACCCAATGGCAAAACACTCATTAGTTATAGCATCACCAAACAGGATTCGAATCCATCTGTCCATTCGAATCCACCAGACTTCCTGTTCTGTCAGCCCAGGTGACGGGGTCACAGGGCACTGCCGGGACAGGCGCCTGGACCAGAGGCCACCCACAGACCCATCCTGCACTGAGAGCTTCCCCAACAAACTAGGGCTTCCACGCCCCCATCTGGAACCTCCATAAAGCACCCTTGCTTTAAAAGGAGGGTTTTGGAGAAGGGAAGGAGGGCTCTTCGATGTTACTAAAACAGAGGGTCCTGCCACCTCAGGAGTTTGACCCAGGCCTAACTAACTACAGACAACAAAGCTTAGCTCAAAACCTCGGGTCCACATGGAGTGTTCCAAGGAAGGACCGGCCAGTCGTTGGCTCTGTCCGTGGGGGTTGCAAAGGGAAACAGAAGCAGGCAGCCAGAGGGCTTGCATCTCCTGGGCTAGCCCCAGTCCGGCTTCCATCTGTCCCCAGGCTGTGCTGGCTGGAGCTGTCGCCTTCATTTACAAGAAACGGGGTGGCATCTACTGGCTGAGTTTGGGGAAGGGCTGGGGTGGGACGCCAGGCCCAGAAGCTGGAGACCGCCCCAACCAAGCCTCCTGCCCGGAGCCCACCCATGTCTCCCCGGCTGGGCTCCCGGAGAGACTGAGTCTCCAAGGTTTCAGTCTCACCAGGCCTTGCTGAGGACCCTGCTCGCCCTGGCAGCTTTCTCCACGGCCATTGCCACCATCGTCACTGGGGCTCGTAATTTCTATGAGCACCACTTTTATTTTAGAGACTATATCTGTCATGTCTCCTCGATGGCCTGGTCTCAGGCCACCGCGCCCCCTAGCACCCCAAGTCCGGACGAAGCCAGAAGGATGCACCTGTGCCTCTCCCACCTGAGCATGCTGAAGGTGGCGGTGGGGGGGGGTGCAGAGGAAGGGGTGCAGCAGGCGCTGGGCAGGGAGGGCCAAGATGGTAGCTCGCGTCACCTGTTCCACACCCAGCTAGACTACTCTCACCACAGCTGTGGCATTGAACAGACTAGAAACAGTCCCTGTGCTTGGCAGTGTTCCAGACTCATGGAAAACACAAACATTGAAATACTCATAAATGAACCAACATTGCAAGGGTGCAAAGTGCTGCAGAGGGATTAAATGCACATCCTCCCTGGATCCTTTCCAGCCTTCAGGCCGCCGGGGCACCGAATAGTAGCCCGAGCCTGTCACTGTTCAGATGAGGACCCTGAGGCCTGATGAGAGGGGTTTCTGGCTGCTCTCCGCATGCTACACTTGTCAACACCCCCTCCCTCGTGCAGGGCTCCTTCCTCAACCCCTCCAAAAGCTACAGATGTGAGGATGAAGGGGGAGAGAGAGGCCCTGTGTTGAAAATGAGGGAGAGACAGAGCAGATGGCATAGTCACTCTGGTGCCAACAGCTTTGGTCCTCTGTCCCCAGGCCCTGTTCATAAGCTTTCAGGTCATGCTGTTGGGTGTCTGGGTTCTGCTGCTTCTGGCATCTCTGGTTCCCCTGTGTCTGTACTGCTGGTGAAGGTCCCGATGTAAGAAGGTGAGTCCCTGAAGTATGTGTCTGTGTTTGGGCGGCAGGGGTGTCCAGAGGAGCAGAGATGGAGAAGGCATGGCTTGGGGAGGGAAAAGGACCCTTAGAGTGAGTCCCAAGGGGCACCATGCCTATCTTTCTACCCCAGTGGGGGCCCGGCCCAGAGAGCCCCTGGCCCTGACCAAGTGGCCCCCAGGACAAAGACCCCAGGAAGCCAGGAAAGTCTGTATCCATGGTGGGACGCTGGGGCTTTTGGCATCAGGTACTGTGAGGCTATGCTGGATCCGGTTGGCTCCAGGACGAAGCTGTGCTGGAGGAAAGAATTTGCACCTCCTCTCCCCACACTGTCCTGCCCCTCTGCCTCCCTTAGGAAACAGACCAGAAGAAACTGCTGGAACTGAGTGAAATCTAGCTCTGCTTTTCCTGAGTACTCATGCCTGGACTCTTTCTGGAGTGGGCGTCCCTTGTCTCTGGCTCCTGGGAGAAGGACCAGGCTGGGGAAAAGGGACTCTGCACTAGCTCTAGTTATCCTTCCTTCCCCCTCCCCCGCCCGTGCCATGGCCACAGCCACTGCCACGGCCCCCTCCACCAATCATCATACCACTCTTGCCCATTTCTGGCTCACCTTGCACCCTCCCGCCCTGCTTCACGGCCCCTCGTGTGCCGGGATGACAATAAACTGTCCTGTTGTTTCTCCCAGCTTCTTGCTTAGTTATTCCAGGGAACGTCTCTTGGGCAAGGCAGAGGAGGATGAGCCAACACAACCCTACAATGCTCCTCCATCTCCCAACCTCCCATCTGGGTCTGGAGTTGCCGGCCTTGAAAGTAAACTCTCTTAGAGGCTGGTTCTGGGACTGGAGGTCCAAATGCCTGCGCACCAAGGGTGAAGGGGGTGCGGACTCTGAGCCCCTCTCCCTAAAATTCAGATTTAAGAGACTAAAGGCTGGGCAAACTGAGAATTGGATTTTTTTTTTTTTGGTTGTTTGGAAATTGTAAGAAATAGATAACATAACACCAAAATGCAGTCACTTTGGAAATCATTTTGTGAAAGAAAGATGATGACGTAGAAACCCTGAATTTGTCCCATGAAAAGGTACCCACGACTGTGAGACACGCCACAAATCGTGTATGTTTAAGTTCATGGCCATCTTGAATAGGCCCCAGTGGAAGTAGTATCATGAATTCAGAGTGCTGAGTCTTGAAAGCACACAGTGCCCCACTGAAGGATCCGTAGGACTCCGCACAGGGTTGTACTCATGGCTACATTTTAGCCACAGCACCATCAACAAGGGACAAAGGCGCATCAGGCGGACTCTGGAGGAATCCGGGTTCAGGTGTCCTATGTCCTCCCACCACTGAGGTCGCACAGTAACACTGTTCAAAGGTGGACTTTGAGACCAGAAAACGAAGAGGCCACTCCATAAAGTTTATACACAGTTTGATTCAGGCTCACATACTGACGGCGGTGGTGGGGTGGGGGGGGTGGTCCACGGCAGCTACAGAGCTAATCTCTGCAAAGTCCAGACCTCAGTCCTCAGATTTTTTTTTTAAACATTTTTTTTTATTTATTTGAGAGAGAGAATGAGAGAGAGAGAGAGCATGAGAGAGGGGAGGGTCAGAGGGAGAAGCAGACTCCCCGCCGAGCAGGGAGCCCGACGTGGGACTCGATCCCGGGACTCCAGGATCATGACCTGAGCTGAAGGCAGTCGCTTAGCCAACTGAGCCACCCAGGCGCCCCAGTCCTCAGATTTTGTAGAGCAACCACACACGAAGAAGGGCACTGTCTGAGATCAAAGGATTCGCATGCACATCAGACAACTTGCATGCTCCTAATTGACAGCGACCCTTCATTTAGACCTTGTGGCGCTCCTGTGCATCAGGAAAGGGAAAGACTATGTTATCTCTAACAGATGGGGGGCTCCCTATCCCAACCTTGGCTGGCATTTCTATCTAGCAAACATGAACAAGATGGGGGGCCAAGGACGAAGCAGTATGGTCGGCTCTCCTACAAACACATATGCAGTGTTTCTGCTCAAGGAAGCCCACTGAAGACTCAGAGCCCAGGGTTTTTACTGGAGGCTCTCAAATAAAATACATTAAAAGAAGCTTCAAACACATCAGACTAAAATTTCAGACCAGGAGGATATATTAAAAGCAGTCAATGCCAGCATTACATCACATCCTTCCTGGTAAGGGATGAGTAGATTAAAGGGGTATGAGGTCTTTGTGTTGTTTGGAAAAGAAGTAAAGATGTTGATTATATTTAGCATTTGTCAGCTCATTCATTTATGGGTTCATCCACCAAACACCTAAATTTAAGTGTTTTAGTAATTCAATAGTAATTCCAAAAAATAGGGGAAAAAATCATAAAACTTTAAATTTCAGTTTGGAGAAAAATAGAGAAAGAAAAAATTCAGTTAAAAAATAAGAACAGAGAAAAGATAAAAAGAAACATTTAAGAAAGCAAAACAGGGGCGCCTGGGTGGCTCAGTTGGCTAAGTGTCCGATTCTTGATCTCAACTCAGGTCTTGATCTCAGGGTCGTGAGTTCAAGCTCTGCATTGGGCTCTATACTGGGCATGGAGCCTACTTAAAAAAAAAGGGGGGGCTCTGTACCTCTGAAACAAATAATGCAATATATGTTAAGAAAAAAAAAAAGAAGAAGA